AAATTATTTCTATACGAATATTAATCTTATCAAGATAAAACATTAGATGTAAATATTATCAAACCTGTTGAACAATTTTTACTTAGAAATAAATGGCAATTGACTTTAACTAAAATGCTCAAATTATCCTGTAAAGTTAAAAAAAAAAGGTTCACAATATTAATAAAGTTACAAAAACACATATACAACACAAATATTAATCCAATTAATATAAGAAATTAGATGTAAATAGTATCATACCTGCTGAACAATTTTATTTAGAAATGAAAGGTGATTGGCTTTAACTAAAGTGCTTAAAATTCGTCATGAAATCTCTGTATTAATGTTTATAAAAAAAGATACTAAATATATATAAAAATTAAAATTTACAAAAATAAAAATAATTACATTTAGTAAGAGTTCTTACAAGTTTAAGTATTTAAAAAATAAGGTTGTTTTTTTAAAGATTATGTTAAATAAAATAAAAATGTTTTTTTGGTTAAAAAAAGAAAAAAAAAGATTGGAAAATTGATTTTTGGTATAACTATAATTAATTATACAACTGTAATTAATCATCAAATTAAAAATTTCTATATCATTTCGCATATAATTTTTTTTACAGAAAAAGCAAAAGAAAAATAACAAAATAAATTAGAGTTTTAAAATGAATCAAATATAATATTGTTTATTAAATAATTTAAATAATTTGATCAAATTAGGTTAGATTAGATTAGGTCAGATCAGGTCAGGTTGGATCAAATGAAAATTTAAATCAGGTCAGATTTTTATTTAACCTGACCTAATCCTCTCAGTTCAAGTAACTTGATTGACCTGACTTGAACTAACCTGTTCAGAGCTCTATACAAGTACTATGTGTAAATCCTATTTAGTTTATTTTTGTATAATTTTTGCTAAAGATTCTTTCAGTATTTTATTAAATCTTTCAACTTGTCCATTTATCTGAAAATGATATAGTATTAAATTATGATATTTAATTCCAAATTTTTCCATTAATTCTTTTACCATAGTATTATTGAAATGTGTTTCTCTATTTGAGAAAATTTTCATAAGACATTCATGTTTACAAATAATTTCTTCATAGACAAATAAAGCAACTTGACTAGCGGTGACTTCTGCAATAGCTCTTATTTCTAGCCATTTAGTAAACATATCTACAGCTTAATAATATATCTATTTTCTCTAGGAGTTATTGGTAAAGGACTAATAAAGTTAATTCCAATCTGATAAAAAGGACTATGAGGGGGTATAGGATGTAATTCATTATTTTTGCTTGATTCTCCTCTTCATTAACAAGAATTACAAGTTTATACATCTGAAACCAATAATATTGAATCTTAATTTTATTGAACATAATTTTTCGTCTAAAATGTCCTGCTATAGGATCATTATACATCATGTATAAAACAAGTTCTAATTCATGTCTTTTGAGAACTTGTAATAAATATTCAGGTCTTCTTTGATCAAAATGATATAAATTTGTATTTTGAATTGTAAAATACTTGGCTATACTTGTGAACTTTTTTTTGTTTCTATTAGATTGAACATGATCAGAAAATTTACTATAATTCAAATATTGTTAAAGTTCGAAATATTGTTGTATATCCATTATAAATAATTAAGCTGTAATCACAATACTTACATTTTCACTTTTACTCAATTAAATAAACTTAAGACTTTCACTCACTAGTACTATTTAATTAGGTACTATCTCTTTAAAAATGATGCAATATAAATAGAAATATAATATTAAAATAACTAATATAAATGTAAAAAGAAGAGGATAATATTTAAAAATCTAATTCAGAAGTAGATGTACGGCTTTGAATTTCATTTAAATTTGATGTAATAACTGGGATGATAGTTGATCTATAAGGGTTAAACAGTTTATTAAATTCATCTTCAGTCAATTCATCAGAAGTTTGAGGATTAAAGGATAGTTGCAAAATTCAACTGCAGCATGACAAGCTTCATTATAGTGTTGTACTTTTTTAGGGATATTTCAAAAGATTTTATTTGTTAAGGTGTCAGGCATTATTTCAGGATGAATCTAACTAAGTTTATATTTAACAATGCAATCATATTCTAAATCTATAGTAATGATTTTTTCACAGAGTGTGCAATTAACGAAATAATTTTATCTTACTTCTACTAATGAATGATTTGCATTTGTTTGACAGTTGTTGTTTAAATTCTGCAGCCTGAAGATATATTTCATGCATATCTTGTCTCCAATATTTTTCTTTTCCATCAATATTTCAGAATAAACTCTAATTAGGTTAGTAGGATTAATGAAATACTAATTTGAATTTATTATAGAAAATAATAGTAAACAAATTCTATTCTAAAAAAATATTAATAAAATTAGCTAGTTTTTAGCTTTAAATATATATAAATTTTATGTAATTAGTGTCATTAGTTTTTGCATAATATGTATTTAAAATTTCTAGTTTTTTTATTCTATACTGTATTAAAGATTTAGAATTAATTAAAAATTAATTTGTAAAAATCTATTATGATGATGTAATTTTCGTAAAATTATTAAACTTCATTAAAAAAATTCAAAATACTTTTAATAATCTTCTCAAGTTATAGAATTTATAATCTTTTTGCTGCATTAGGTATAAAAATTTTTAAATAAATTAAAATTAGTAGTTAATTATTATTCTACTTTATCAAGTATTAGATTTTATATAGTTAGCTAACTTGCGATATTCAAATTTATATTACAAATAATGAAATAAATATTTTGCATATAGAAGAAGAAAATAATGATTTACTTAAAATATAATATAATTTTTATAAATAGTGTAGTTGGTAAAAGTTCATTGAGTAGGTATTAGAATAGAAAATATAAATATATAACTTAAATATCTTGCAACATTTGCTCCACTATTTCCAATTGCAGGAAAATTAAATTATACTAATTTAACAGTTCATTTTTTGGCTTTATTTGCAAAATATCTATAATTTAAAGAATTATTACATTATTCTGAATCTATTAATTTAATAAAAAAAGGTTATTATTTAACATTTGATCAAGTACTTGAAACTTTTGAAATAAAATTTATAAAATAAAATATTATAGGTAATATTATTAATAAAGAAAATCAAATTAAATCTACACAAACAAAAAGAGAAAAAATGTGAATTACTTTTTAGTGAATTTATTGATAATAATATAATATCATATAGTAAATATTCAATTGATAATAAATATACAGTTCTTTGAAATTTACAAAAACTTTAGTAGAAACTTTTGGTTTAATTACTTCTTTAAAACATTCACTTTTTAAAAATAATAGTCAATTAAATTATAAAGGATGTCAAAGATTATATAAATGTTATAATATAGGATTAGAAAGATTAAAAGTAATATATAAACAAGAAATATTATAAATAGAACCAATTAATATTAAAGGAAAAAAAGCTAAAGAAGTTAGTAGTTAGTAAAGTTAAAGATATAAAAAAATCTGAAAAAGAAATAGAAAAAGTTGAAAAGAAAAAAAAATAATTAACAAATTACTAGAAAAACATTCAATAATCTACTCAAAAGATAATAATGAATTAATATTAAATAAGCATTCATCTTCCTCCTTTAGATCTAAATATTACAAATATTAAGTATATTTTTGAACCATTGTCAAAAAAAATAAAAGGTGATATATCATTAAACTACTCAGGTAGAGAAAGATTCTCTTAAGTTGTAGAATGTGTTGTTCAGTTGGATTTTATGTAATATACAAAAAATTGATTTTTAAATAAAAAAAAGAATTTTTAAATTATAAAAATTTATGGTGACAAGCTCTTAATAAATGCTTTGAATTTAAATATAATTTGGCGGAAATAACAACTTTATTAGAGTAAGTAATTTTATCTTTTTCTTGAATAACTCCATTTTAGCTAAATAGACAATATTAATAAAAATCATTAAAAAATATGTAGAGGTTTAAGAACAATTATTAAATAATAAGAAAAAGTAGTGGCAAATGTATTTTTTATTAATTTAAAATTAATATATTATAGGAAAGAATAAAATAAAGTTCTTTCTGCTTTGAATTATAGACTATATAGAAGGGAAGAAAACAATTATTAAAAAGAGAATTCTATATATAATATCGCGAAAATTCAAAGTATATTTTTTAAATAAATTTGATTTTTACTGTTATATATTATTGCTAACATGAAATATATTTTTTTAATATTATTTATATTTATAATTTTTGTTTGTGATGACTCCAATAACCTCTCACTTTCTTTTTTGTCCATCCATTCCAAAATTGCACTAATTCTTTTAAAACTTCTTCTATTCTTCTGTAGGTAAATTTGGTGTTAATAATAGTGCTAATAGTCCTCCCATAAAATTACATATATTTTTGTTGTTAAAGTTGTATATTTTTTATCTACTTGTAAGAAGATCTTTAAAAAACTTATTTTTAAATGTAAAAAAAAAAATAATCGCGGAATTTTTTAAATATGAAATGATCTGCGTGCGACATGTCCGGCGTATGTTAAGATTAGTTCGGATGCGATATATAACTGTTTTTATATGAATTCGTTATAATCAGCGTAATCAATTATAAAAAAATCGGTTTTGTAACACATGGTTCGGTATAATAAGATTTCGGTAGAAGCAGGTTCGTTATATCCAGAGTCGACAGTATATTATTTTTACTAAAAAATAATATTTAGCTTATAAAGTAAAAAAAAAATTTTTTTATGGTAGTTTCCTCTCTTTCTACTGCAAAGCGCTCATATATAGTATTTGATTGTTTTAACGTTAAGACTTGTTGCTTTACTTGAACTAGCACCTGTAGCAGCTCGGTAGAAATCGTAAATGCCGAGACCCTAGCATGGCATTTTGTTTGAAAAGATCCTCATACTTCATATATATCGTAAATAAAAAATCAATAACAGCGTGACCATCTCACATAAATACATAGTTTCCTTTTCCAGTGAGATTTGCTGTTCGTCTGCCCGTACAATTTTGTTCGCTACTATTCTCATCTTCCATTCGTTAAATTATGGTAAGAAATAAAGGTTAGGTCTCCTGATAATGATACGGGATCACCACAAATGATGATCATCAAATGTTTTTTAAATGGCTTGCTCCAGACAAGACGATATTTCATACCATCAAACACGACCATGCCTGAAAATTTCCAGCTTGCTGGGACACCCCACATTTTTGCTGAGGATCCAATAGTCTTTGCCATGAATAGTTAATCCATGTAATATCAACGTGAAGTCCACCTTAGATTCCAAAATTTATGTTCAAGCATAAGATTGCAGTCATCTGCCGTGACTACTACATGAAAAGTTTGAAGAGGGCAGCACCATATTGCTATATCGTGTTTCTTCTGGTTTTTTCTGAGCCAGTACGGCATTTGGTTCGAGTTGACACTGTTGAGGCAACATTAATGAGTCGCATTGATCAATCAAAAATATGATGGGGACCTGCTTGCAATTACTGTAAGAAATTTTCGAAAACTGCAATCGACATATCTTTGTTCGCAGAGGCTTTTGTAATCAATAATCTACCAAGAGTTCTTTTGTAAAAATTTTTTCTGCTCCATGAAGCCATTGTGCACTTTGCTGAACCACATCGCGCCATCAATAAAGTATTTACCTTTACTGGCAAGACGATACATCCATTTATTTTGGCAAATTAACAACAAGTGTGGTAGTATTTCCCGAGACGCTGGGACCTCGCAAAACATTGGTGAATAAGAAAGCAGTTGTAGAGCTACATAGAACATTTTTGGATGAAGTATTTACACATTATCTTCGAAAATTACGTGTGATTTGGGGAATTACATTGTCTCCTCCAATTTTATATCATTCCATTCTGATAAAACACTAGCATCAAGTTGTGTAATAGAAGGTGCGATGCCTAGAACTGAATTAGAAAAACAAGTATCAAATCATAAAAAAAAAAAATAATATTCCTCTTACCATTCGCCGATGCTTATACAAATTGCTTCTAATTTCGATATCTATCACGATATTCGTTATTCGTGGATTTTCAGCATACTTCACTCATCATGCCTTGGAGTTGAAATAAAGAGTAGAGTGTAGAATGAATATCTATCGGATAAAGTATATTCTTTTCATAAAATCTATACTTACCACGGAAAACTACACTTGAAGAGATGGAACTATCGTACACGTTGAGATGGTTTTAAATCCAATTCTTCACTATGCTTCTTAGTAAATTTTATCGACGTCAACGTTGCAGTTCACTTGACTTTTTCTTCTTTATCTTCAACAATTCCTCCGCCAAACGTGAGCCTAGTTTGCTGTCCAGTTTCATATTTAAACCATATTTGATATGAGTGGCTCGCTTCAGACATTTCTTATCGTTTGGTCAAAGGAAGTGTGATAGTATTTATTATTCTGAGTTATCATTTTAGATTTTTTTTTTTTTTTTTATAAACTAATATAAAATTTGATTTTGATAGTTCAAATGATGTATCGAACATGCGATCAATAATCAAAAAAATAAAAAAATTAAATAAAAATCTTTATTTAATTTACACCCTAAATTTATTAAAAAAAGTGTCATTTACAATAAACAATCTTCTTGATAAATCATCACTTGGAAATACCCAATCATCACCACCACCTTTCAATTTCTAAAGATGACCTAACCAAAGTCTTTGAATTAATAATATTACGGATGTGTTAATTTCATGACCAAAGTTAAATTTAATATGTTACTTTGAATGAATCCATCATCGTTCTTGGTGCACGCGTTGGCGTTCCATGATAAAAGTATATCGAATATTTTTCGGGTTAAGAATTTTTTTCAATCACATCTTCCAGGAAGTTATTTGTTTGGTTTTTCATCCAATTGATGTACTGAATTTAAGAAATCAGAATTTAAGAATTTTTGTAGAATTCAAAGAACCTCGGAATTCCAAATGATTACGTTCTCCTGACCAATATTATAGGGCCTTAATTCTTGGAGCTTAGTTAACCGTATGAAACCAATTTCTTGAATTCGTTTCTTTAATTCTCGAACGGTGGTTTACCTTTAAATTACGACCAACCATTTAACCCAAGTTAAAGTTTCAATATGAACACAAAAACGGAACGTTTTGTCAACATGATGATGATGAGATGATATTATACCACCAGTCAAATAAGAATAATTGGAAATCCAGTTGTTCGTAAAGTCTAGTATCATTCTCAAATAATAATAAGTTATGACAGGGGGAATTTGTGATAGATATCAAAGCGGAAGCCACAACCGCTGTGGAATGGAAATGGTATAGGTGTTCTGTCGTATTCCTTATATTGCGACCACTAGATGAAAACTTAGAAACCAAAATGATGAACACAAATGACATGCATAATAATCCACCCTCTTTAATTTTTAATTATTATTTTTTTTTATTTTTTGAATATTTTAAGATGGTACTGCACTTGGAGATAAAAAACCCAATGTAAAAAAAAAAAAAACTTTATCAGTATTTATAGTGGAAAAACAAAATTGGCTAGTCATTTGCTAAAAGCGGATTAACGTTTGGTAGCATGTTACTCTAATGGATGTTTGTGTAAAAATTTAATCGGCGGGAAATGATTTGCATGATCCAAGTAAATTTGATGTTTTGGCGACATACTGGTATGTTATATGATATATTAATAACTTTATTTCACAATTTTAACTTTTAGTATTTGTTCGTTTATTGTGCGTAGATAATTTTCATATACACCCATACGAAAATTCTCTATTGCACTTCTGGATTCTTTTAAGAAATTTTCAAAGAGAAGAATTGAATAACTTGTTTCATGGTTACAGTTGCAATAAAGAGATCGCAGATACAAGATTGCATGAATATAAAGGAAGGAATATGTTGAATTTCTATACCATAGCGTAGATTTTCAGAATTTGTCGCTTTTATGATTTCATTCACACACTCGTTTTTTTTTTTTTTGTTTTAAAAATTTTTTTTTTTTGTACTTTCAGATACGGATTGACGATCAAAACAAACGATCAAAATCAGTTGTTTGTGCTCGCCGATGTTTCAAGGTCATGCAAAGAAAAATTTGGACGTTTGGAAAATCCTGTTCGTTCTTAGCAATGGAAAAAGTTCCTCTGCTGGTTATCGATAGCATTCTTGATGGAATGATCTTCAAAGAGGATTTTTACGAACTGAGAAAAGTATACTAATTAAAGCGTCAAATTTTCTAAGGAAAATTTATGCTAGGATTTATATATTTTTTGATCTCACATAAATATACAAATGATTTGATTTTAATTTTGTCAAATTGGAAAAAATTATCATATGTATTTCTTAAATTATTATTATTTTTTATTTTTATTTGCCAATTTACATAGATATAAAACCTTATTAAAAATTAATATTCCATTCATAGATAAAACCTTAATTAAAAATTAATTTCTATCCGTAAACAAAATCTTATTAAAATTTTTTTACTTTTCATATATAAAACCTTATAAAATTAATTAATTAATCATAAAATCATAAAAGAATATAGAAATAAAGTAATAAATTGATTATGTTTATGTAAATACGTGAAAATGTTAAATAATGTTACGACATTAAGGAAATATCAAAGTAAACGAAACGAATCAAACTCGAAAATAAATGCACGAATAAAAAAAAAAATAACGATGAAAAAAATAATATTTGTGTAGTCCATTAAAAAAGCCGTTGATGGTGTTGATGGTCAAGGATGCATGGACACAAGTTTCGGAAATCAAATGATTTGGAACAAGTCGGATTAATTGGATTACATTGGATCATCGAAAAATTATTAAAGTTATTATCAATGTGAGGTTGTGAACTTTGAACATTCTCATCAACGTGATTGAGAATTGCGCTAATGGATGTCATCGGCCCGGGAGATTCAAGCGTTTTTGGGGAATGATCCTGACTTCGAACTTCGTCTTTGTTTCTTATTACCTTGATATGCTTATGATAAGATCTTCGTCTCTTTCCCTTTGTGCATTTCATCAAGTTCTCATCATATTTGTTTTGATTAACACTTTTTTGAACTAGACCCATCCTTAATAACTGAGAACGGAATGTCGGTACACCCTTGTTATCAGAAAATTCGGGCTTTTTTCGAAGTTGAAAAGCTGAGGCATTTCTTTGGTTTATCTCATCTGATATCGTCAAAGTTGGCAACCAAACGAGTGCCTTTGGAAAAAAAATGAAAGTTTCTTCTTGACTACCAGGTATACCTTCCTGATACACAAAGTAGTTATCAACAAAATAGATTGGTCTAATGTTGTGCTTTTTTTTATCGTAATTGTCACGATTTAAAAAGTACTTTTGTAAATCATCGGATAAATTGATTAAATTCCTGTATAACTGATTAACGAAATTTGGATTAAAGTCCCGTTTGGAGGTGATCTCTTTTTTTAAAATTTTTCGGATTGAATCCAAGGGATGATCAGAGTCCACGATTGGATCGATTAGACTTTTACAATCTGACAAGGTATTGTCATCTAAATTATGACAATAATTATACTCTTTCATCAGAATTGAAAACCTTAAAAGTTTCTCGGGAAATAATTCGATTTCTTTACGAACTATGAATTTGATGTCATTTATGGAGAGGAGCAAATCTTGAAAACATTTCAATTGAATTCGTACAATGATTCTTGAACAAATTAAGATGAGCGCATAATCTTGTCTATCAGGGGAAATCGTGTCAAAATCAATTAAGCTTTTTTGTTCGCGTCGGGTAATGGTTCCAAATACTTTGGGCATAGTGAGTTATGACATAAGAAATTTAAGGGAAAAAGAAAAATGTTGATTTATAAAAGAATTGAAAATTTTTTTGTTAAGCCATTTTGCTAAAAATGAAACCCTCGGAAAAAATATAGTAATACTACCCCATGCCTTCGAATACAAATTACTATTTTCAAACGTTGTAATATTATTAATTTATTTTTTGTGTTGTGTTTTAAAAAGCGAAAAAAATAAAAATAAATCTCGTACATCAATCAATAACCAAATCTGGATGGCAGATTTTTCTTTTTCCGAAGCTTTCTCAAAACTTTTGATTTGTTCCCATGAGCATAAAAAATGTTATACACGGAAAAACAGAGGCAATACTTTCCTAATGGCAAGTAAATATTTATATAAAGTACGACCTGGTGTTTCGAATATTTAATGAATTTATTAAATGATTATATATTGTTCGATGAAGTGCATGCATGACAAGGCCGAATTTGGAGTCGAATGGACATTTTTTTTATAGAAAAACGCTTGTAAGACGTGACAATCATGCGCTTAATGTGGTTTTCCTGTTTTTTCAAAACTTGTCAAACACAAAAAGTTTACACGAACTTCATTAGAAAGAATATGTTTGAAACAATAGGCAGCACATGGCTTTTCAATTTCAATGGAAGTTTTTCAGGCTGAGAATTTTTTTGACTGAAATTATGACCTTATTACATTTTAATCTAATAACATCAAAAACTAAAATGCAAATAAAAATCAAAATTTTTTTACAAATTCCCAGAGCCTGATGTTCCTAGAAATCTTCCCATTTATGCCAAGTTTGAAAATAACTACCACGAGAAAACGACACAAGGAAATGAATGGAGATAAAAACGAGATTAAGCAATTGGTCGGACACATTTTTGTTGGTTTCCTCAATCGGTCGATCATTTCCTAAAATTATGAGTCCCAATCTTTATCACAAGGGCGGCCACTGCTTTTTATAAACAACATTACTGTCTGGGTAGAAAGAATTGGTCTTTTAAATATGTGATGAAATTTCCTTAAGGATATAAAGCGATCCTAAAATTCCCAATAATTTATCAGATTTTTATTTTACTGGCGTTATATTTTACTTTCTAATGATAAATGTATAAATGGATATTTATTAAAAATAAATAATAAACTTATTTGGGAATTTAGGACCGAGTTCTAAGGACCCGATCCTAACTTATCGATTCCATGAATCTTCCTTATTATATCAGCGATTAAACTTTTCACTAACTAAAAATTTCTAAATTAACATCCCTAGATTTTATGGAATGGGTTACCATCCCAGGATTTTAAACGACTGGAAGAGAGCAATGGGATGTGAAATGAGGATAAGTGTAATTGGAATAGGTGGCACAAAATGAAATTTTCGATATTTGAAATCAATTTCGATTTCCGAAATGAATTTCGACTGGAATGATATTTTGAATTTCAAACTAATTTGTAGAATTAGTATATAAAATGTGCCGTCAGTCGATCTCGTACGATCATCAGTATCATCAGTAAGGTTGTTAGGTTCTGCGAATTTACCACGAATACTCTGTAAGGAAGGATTTACATAATATTTTTCCAAGCAACATTTATCACAGAGTGATAATCTAAGTACGCGCAACGGGAAAGCCATAATGATTGAGGATAGCGCTTTTGCAACTGCTGCATTTGTTATATAAAGAGCATCAAAATACTCTAATTCGATGCTGATATCCAAAGAATGCTGAAAACCAATACGATGACGGAATGTAAACATCAATATCCCATTAACCAAATTTGGGTTTTCTACAGAAAAAAAAAAAAAAAGAATCAAATGAATAATTTTTTTAATTTTTTTTTTTTAAAAAAAAAAAAAGTTTTTACCATCCACTTGATAATTGATTAAAAAAGTTAAACAAAACGAAAAAATAAGCAAACATCTGGCGGGCAAAGAGACAAAAAAAGTAGTTTACTTAGAAAATAAATTAATTAATTTTGTAATAGTATAACTAGAAACTGGCTAGGTCAAAAGTTTGATTTACACCCCAGTGAGTACAAACTCATATTGGTATAACAATAAAAAATGTGCCGTAGATCATTAGTATATTTCATAGGAAATAAATGGTTAACTTTGCATCTGATTTTATTTTATTTTATTTTATTTTATTTTATTTTTTAACAATGGATTTGAACATCTAGAGCGAGAAAAAAATAATTTACGTTTAAAAAATAAATTGTATTATATAAAGTATATTATAAATAAATGCCGAAATTGGATCTGACAAGATCAACCGTTCCGAGATCGACTGCAGTTATGACAAGTTTATCTTGTCATTTTATTAATTTTGAATGAAGTGATTGGTTGGTCTACATGTTATCATGTAATTTTTTTCCGAGGGTTATAACAATATATAAGGTCTTCGATTTTCGACAAGGGAAAACAAAAAAATATTTCACTATGAAGAAAAGTTTATTATACATTGTTATACATGTTACATCGGCAGTTATTGCTGATTGGATCACCGTAGAACATGATTTTAATATGTGCGACCAGATCATATCTTCTGATAAGGCGGCGTTCCATATTGATGATAATGGCATTAGTTATACGGCGTCTGCTTTGATCAGGGATATTCAAACTGTAAAGCATGAGCCACCCTTAACAACTTTAAACATCACTATGTGGGGATGTACCTTTGATTGTGGCTTCAGCTTCATGGTGAAAATAAACAGGGATGACCTTTCGGTTTCGTCGTATACCAATAAAAATCAAAATAACTACAAATGTTTTTTAAGTAATTACACGATGAAACTCATTCCGACTCCTAAAATTACATATAATAAAAACGTACCAAACCCAGATCACGTGTTTCCAACTGATCTAACTGCAATGCATTGCAGTGAAGGTAAACACCCGGATACACCCGAATTGCCTATTAATCCAACAGAACATGTGGCCGAATGCATTGATTATTTAACTGGTAATGAAGTTGGAACATACGCTGCATCTCTTCAGTTCGGTTCAGGCAGCTCATTCAGTCCTGATAATTATCCGGTTGCTACATATCATATGATTACTTCGGCAAACAACCTATTCAATTATTGGGAGAGACACCATCGAGGGTTCCACGAAGCCATTAAAGAACTTAGTATCAAAATGACTCCCGATAATCTCAAAGAATTGATCCCACCGCCGCCGCCACAGCCTAAAAGAAACATTCTCAAAGAGATTATAATTCCTTTAGTCATTACCATTGTATTATGTGCTCTTCCTTTTGCTGGGAATATATATGCCGCCGGCGTAGCATTGATAGGTAGAGTGATGGCAGCCATCTCCGAAACTACTGCCGAACTTGGTGCTGTAGAAGATGCTGTAGAATTGGCAGAAATACCCAGAGAAACAGCGTTAACTCTTAGAATTCGATTTAGCCAAGCCGCGGCCGATAGATTTCACGCAAGGGGAGAGCCCTTTGAAATTAATTGGGATGGAATCGCAAGAGAATATAGAACAACAAGAGCGAATATTGATCAAATCCGTACAAGATTGTTTGGGGAAATTGGTAAGAGGCCCGAAGCAAAAAAGAGGGATACGACGACGGAAAATAATTTAGGATTTTTTACGTCAAACATTGTGAATGCATTCTTCCTTCCAACTGTAATGGACAATGTTCATCAATCATTTACCGGAAGCGGGCAAAGCTATTCAGATATTTCATCATATCTATCAGCCGCAAGTGAAAATCTCCTATTTCATTTTGATGATACATTACACAATAATTTTTTTACTGGAAACAAGTCAGTATTAGCTAGTTTTACTGTTAATCAAGGGATGAATGATGATAAATTACTTGCCGATGATGATGACGTATATAACACAATTAAACAAAGTACATACAACACTATGGCGGCAACAATAATAAGCTCTACATTAAAAACCTTTAATGTTGAAATATGTGACCCAAAACCTTCATTTTGCGGACAATCTTGTGATTGTCCAACAATCGGAGATGATAACTGCGTAATAACTGCCTCAGATGGCCAAATAAAGGAACTTAACTTCCTTCGAAACACCTCTGATATATGTTCAACTAATACTACGAAGACTGGTTGGAATATAACCCATAATCCCAATTGTGGAAAAGAACAATTTCAATGTTAATAATAAATTCATCGACTTTTTTTTTTAAAAAAAAATAAAAAAATAAAAATGATATTTTATTTAAAAAAAAAAATTAAAAATTAAATTAAACCCAAATTTTGTTTAGCTTCGGTTAATGTCGAAATGACCCCAAAATATATCTGCATAATACAGTGAACAAAAAAAATTCATTAAAGACGAAAAAAATATAATTAATTTAAAGAAAACTGAACACATTAAAAAAAAATTAATTGTTTTTATCCGATTAAAATAAAAAAATTTTCCAAGTATAATTTAAAATATTTATGTTGTCCAATCCATTTACCACCATTATTAATGATTATACACACACTTGCAAATAGTGATGGGATTTTTTAACTAGAAATTTAAAATGCTAATTAATAAGTAATTAATAATTACTTATTAATTAGGCCGTAGTTTTTAAGTTATTAAGTATTAATAAGTAGTTAATAATTATTAATAATAAATTAATATGATTGGTCTAATAACTGATAACGTGATACGAAAATTTGATATGATCTGCCGCATGATAACGATTATCGATTTTTTTTAAAAAACCTTCGAATTTATATTATAATCTCCGAATTTACGTTTTATTTTTAAGCTATGGAGCGATTTCACAGTTCGTGAAATTGCTCCTATTTAAAATATCTATCACAATGTTTCTGTTCTTTTTTGTATAATTGTCATGCATTTATATAATTCCCCCCCCAAAAAATTTGTTGAATATGTGCCACGATATGAGTTTTATTGTTAGCAATTCACCACCAAATAGCCAACAAAAACAAAGTAACCCTTCTAGTTGTATTTGTTTTACCTTTTTTTTTTGAATAATGCATGCCGTTAAAAAAAAGCAAGGTAGAAAAAAGGGATTAATTTGGTTTCATTTTATTGAAGGACCAATGATTAATAGTTCTCATCATAAAGCAAAGTGTAAATATTGTTTTGAAAAGATGGGTGGTATACCTGTTAATATGTTACAACATCTTAAAGAAGATTGTTCTAAAATTAGTGAAGAAATTTGTGATACTCTTCGTAATTTAGATAAAAGAACAAAAAAAATAAGCATAAGCATTCTCATATTGAAACTGCAGATTTAGACAATGATGGTAATTTAGTTTTATTATTAATATTATTATTGCTTTAATTTAATTAATTTATTCTATTTAATATCTAATGTAGATGAAAACGAATTTCAAGTTAATAATACACAAAAATCTATAGATTCTTTTGTGGATAAAAATATATCTCAAAATGAAGCAACAGCAATACATTGCCAACTATTACGTACCTTACTTTTAGCAAATGTTCCTTTCTCTTTCATAGATAATTCTGAAGTTATCAAATTATTTAGAATGCTACGACCTTCATATAATCTTCCATCAAGAAAATGGATTAGCACTGAAATTTTAAATCAAGTTCATTAAGAGGTAGAGAATAAGATTCAGGAATTTGTTACAGATTCTAAATTTTTAACTTTATTTGGAGATAGGTAAACAAATATATCTAAACAAAGAATGGTTAATTTTGTTCTTATAAATGAAAAGTGTCAAAGTCAAATTTGAAAAATAGAAAACTTTTCAAATATTCATCATACTGGAGATATTATGTTTGAAGCATATAAAAAGGTTAGAATAGAATTGGGAACTGATAAATGAATAGGATTTGTATCTGATAGTGAATCAGATATGGCTAAAGCACAACGTCTTATGTGTCAAGTAAGTTTATTTTATATTTATTATTTAAATTTAATACTTTCAACTAAAATTAATTATGAATATTTTTAAAAAAATAAAGGATTCGAAAATAGGCAGAAAGGTTCTTACTATACCTTGTATGGCATACCAAACAAACTTACTTGTCAAAAAAATTGTGAAATCATCTATTTTTGAGCCCATTATTAAAATACTCTTAAAAATTGTTAACCATTTTCGAAATTCAAATTTGACTTTAGCAAAATTGCGGGAATTATCACAAGATTTAAATTTAACACCTCAATATCCTTGTATTACATGTTTGGCAACTTTTTCTAAGGTTACAAAAACTATTTTATTACTTCAGGATAATATAAGAGTAAGTATAATATTATATTTATTTTTTATAAATTGTAAATTTTACTAATTTTTTTTTTATTTTTTATTAGATTATAGCAATTACTCATTCTAATCTTTTAACTACAAGTAGAAAAAATGATAATAGCATAATTAATGCTATAGAAAGTATCGATTTTTGGGAAAAACTTACAATGTTTTATAAATTACTAAGGCTTTATGATCATATTATTATGATTTTAGAATCTGAACATGCTACTCTTGGACAAGTTGCAGCAACATGAGCATGGTTAAGAGAAGTTATTAACAAATTACCTTCTAATGAAAGAGAATTTAAAACTTTAATGATTAATAAAATTGATAATCAATAGAAGAAAATTTACAATCTGATTTTTCTTATTACCTGATTTTTGCATTCATATCATCAAGAAAAAGGAATCAAATTAACAAAGTTATTACAAATTCAAGAGGATACTTATTCTTTATTTTGTATATTATATTCAGATAAAGATAATAATGCATTTATAGATAAATGGTTAAATTATTAAAATAAGGAAAGTATTTTTAAAGTAAAATCTTTAAATAGTTCAAAAATTACCAAGAATACATTAAGATATTAGAGAACTATTTTTACTTCATGCATTAAATTTAGTTGAATTTACTTATAAGCTTTTTTCAATTTCACCAAATTTAGCAACTTCAGAAAGAGTATAGTTTCTTATGGATAATATATATATTGAATAGCGTAATCATTTATCATCAAAAAAGCTGTTAAAATAGCACAAATAATATAGTATATAAGAGAGCATTTTTTTGCAAATAAATCAAAAAAGGCTCAAGATTCTTTAAATTCTTTAAAGGTTTATAATGAATTAAATAATATAAATAATGATAATATATCAAATAGAGATGAAGTAAATGTGAATGAAATGATGGATGATTTAGAACAAATATCAGTAAGAATAATTGATGATATTAATGTTTTTAATTCTATTGATGATAGTTTACAGTTTCCTATTTTGTTTGAACTTTTTGATTCACAAATAATTAAAATAGCATTGATTCAAGAAATTAATTCTATATAATACTTATAAATTATTATAAATAAATTTCAAATTTTGATTAACGGTAATAAATATAATATTACGTGATTTATTAAAAATTGACCAATCAGAATTTTTAATATTAATAATTTAATTATTAACTTAATAAATAATTATTAATTAGAAAATTTTTTAAATAATTTTTAAGTCTCATCATTACCGTCTAATGTAATTATGTGAGTTTTTATTTTAACCCAATCTTGAGACTACTGGAAGATTCTATACTACTTATAGCAGATCACAATAGATAAGTAGACTATATAAAAAGGGTAAAAAGTAGATGTCTAACATAGTTGTATAAGTTTTTATTTTAACCTATTCTTGGGATTCTAGAATTTCTCATACTGCATACCAATAATTCATAAATTTTAATTAACGTGTCTCAAAGTTTTGTAATAGAAGATAAATATGTTTTTTAATATTATCTTCTAAATTCTCTTTCATCAGATAATCCAGGCATTTTTGAAGCTTATCTGCTTCTTTTTGAAATAAATGTATAAAATCAATCTATTTATTACGATATAGATAATAACTTAAGAAACTGTATTTTTCAGTTGGTGTTTTTTTGAAATAATTATAACAAGTTTCCATCATGAAAAAAAAAAATAAAATTGATAAATCTAATCAAAAAATATGCAAGTTAATATTATTATAATGCATGTGTAGGGATGGGAACAATCTGATCTATATTGAAAGACTATTAGTTTGATCATAGGACCAGTCTTTTTTTAGAATAGATCAACAGAATTTATCATAAGATCAGTTAGCATATCAGACATTTGCATAATTAGCCATTACACAGAATTATATAACTTGGCTTTTTATATTGTTTAAAGTAAGGTAAATATTTTATTATCTTGCTTTTTTTTTATGTAACATTAAAAAAATTTTAATTATATTTCTAGAAGTCTGTTATAGTATCTTTTCAAAACTAATTTATTAATCATACAGTTTTCAACAAGTCATTTAGCAATTTTAAAGGTTATAATAGAAACTAAACTGAAAGAAACTTTCTGAACCATATGTTATTTATGGAATAGAAGGAAATGAAATAAAGTTTTAGAAATTTACAAAGGAAGCTAAACGAAAAGCCTTGCAGCATGAAACTTCAAATTCTACCTGGCAATTAGGTAGTATTTAATTTTATCATAATCACTATATGAGCTGTATTGTAAAAGGAATATATTCTAAGAATTTTAAGAATACTGTTACCTTAAAATGACATTGAGAATCTGATCAGATACAAGATAAAAAGAATTGATTCTGATGATAGCAAATTCGAGTTAACAATGAAAGGAATTGAACCTAATAATTCAAAAATAGATCTTAATGAATTTGAAGATAAATTAACATCGAAGGTAAGTGGAATTTATGAGATTGATTTTATTGAAAGTATTAGATCAATAGCATGAATTTTATATACAAGAGAAAAAAAGAAAATATATTACTAATTTATGATTAAAAATTATTCAGAATGGATATAGAATCAAAAGATACTAACCTTATACTATTTTTTAACATATTTGAGAAATTAATCAATCTAAGTGATAGGGACCTTTTAGATTATACTATCTCACAAAGGCAGATAGGGCTCTCTTTTTTATGTTATTTCCTTGCTAGAATTGGGAATAAGTATATTAGTGTACTAAAAAAAAATATTGCAATATTTTTGAATCATTCAGGTACATCTGATCGAGCTATTAATACTTTATCTAATATGCAATTAAGTTTTACATTAAGAGAAAATCAGCATAAGAAGAATGTTATATCTTCAATTCATAGAAATAATATTACAAAAGAACTCTTAAAATATCAGACAAATGTAATAGTTACAAATATTGATGATTATCATAATATTTATGAATTAAGAATGTCAACAATAACTACCAGTACTATTGCATATATGACTACTATTCTTGCTATTCCTATATTCACAGTAAATATACATAATCCATTACTTGTTGATACCAATTCTTTAATTTCTCAGATAGAAAATCATTATATGACTCTTTTTTCTCAATCTTTTAATAATTGATTTGCTAAACAATTTACTTTTTTTGAAGAGGATTTACAGTTAACTTTTTAATTTTGTATACAAATATATTTTTGGAATAAAAAAAAAGCTTGCTAATAAACCTTATCCTTGGAGAATCAATATTTTATTGCAATTAATTTCAGATGCTTAGAAAAATATTACTCCATATGTTAAAGAAAAAATTGAGACAATTTGTTTTAGAGATGTAGAATATCTTACATTAAAAACCTTCTTAGATAATACTATTCCTTAAGTTTTAAATATTTATGCAACAATTTTTAAATCTGATAATTGAGAAACATATATTGAAGCTTGTGTAAGAATATAGTATTTATTTGCTTGATTTAAATAAAAAAATTATAATAAAGTACTATTATTTTTTCTTTCAGATGTTTGATATTAAAAAAGTATTAATCATCCTATTCTTGATATTTTAAAAAAACATCTTGTAGCATTTAATAATTATCCTATAGAAAATTATCATTTATTAATTCAAAGATAAATAAGAGAAACAGATACACATAAACAATTATCAAAAACAGTTTATGTTATCAATTATTTTCATCATGATAATGTATTTCAAATTTAAAATGCATTTATTGCAACAAAAAAATATCCTTATTGTAAAAAAGATTTAATAGGTTTAACTAATAAAGCATCTATTATTCTTTTAGAATTATTTACAAAAGTTAATAATAATATTGAAAAAAGCAGATGGATAAAAATTAATTAACATGAAAAAAATAAGCTTTCATGTCATCTTGCAGCTCTTAATATGAATGTAGATGAATGACATTTATCAATAACTTTTAGTTCAAAATATCCACCATTTAATTTATTAGAAAAGTGTTATTTTCAAGGTTCTTGTAAAATATTACAATCAGCATCTAATGATTTTACTTCTTACAACTTAATGAAGTTTATTTCTTTTTCATGTAATCATATTTATTATCAATATTGTTTACAATATCTTGAGTATAAATGTTTATATTGTTTAAAATATATTAAAAATGAAATTAATAATAATGTAAAATCTATTATTTCTAGAATTACTAAAGAAAATTTTAAAGTTAAACTTGATCAAGAAGATAAAATTCAATTAATAGAAAATGATGAATCTGAAGATTTATCAAAGCAAACATTATTTGATTCTCAAGTTACAGAACAATTTAAAATAGCTCTTGAAATATTTATGAAAAATTAATAAAAAAATACAATATTATCATATTCTTCCGAAAATAGACACTCCCTGAAAATGAGCACCATCTTATTTTTTAGTATCCATAAATAAGCACTATTACATTTTTAGCATTCAAAAATAAAATAAATGCTAAAACAAATCTGATTTATTAAAAATTTTATAAAATTCAATGTCATTTTTTAAAAGAATCATTGTCATCAATATTTCTTTCATCATTATTAATGATTGTTATCATCATCACTGCTACTATTATTGTCACTGTTACCATTATCGTTCACCACTAACACACCTAAAATTACCGCTAAATTATATTCACTTTTATTTTAATAGATTCTTTTATATGACCCCTAAATGAAACGTGTTATAAATATAAAACATTTATCATTTTTGCATAGCTTCTGAGATTGAAAATTTAGCAATTTTGTTAGTACCTGAAATTAAGCATCTCTATAGCAAAAAAAAGGTGCTTAATTTCGGAGGCATATGGTAATATTATATTATTTTAATAATAAAATTAAACCAATCAAAATCAATTATTTTAATGATAATTAGGAAATGATCGACATATAAATTGACCAATCATACAAATGTCTGCCATGCTGATCACGGGGGTGTTTTGCGTAGTGTATGACGTAAAAATAAGTTGTGTATGATATATTTTTAAACAATATATGTCGATTTGCCGGAAAAAAATCCGTTACAAACTTTTTATCAGGGATTTTAAAAATTCCGGATTTCGCCAGAGTTTATAATACTATATTAAGCATTGACTACAGAAGACATTTTTAACACGAGCTTTGCAATAAAAGGTATTTTAACGCGTGAGAATTTTTTTCACTTGCATTTGAAAGTCACGATAAACAGTGTAGTTGTTTCACAAACTTACGATTCTACACCACTGGTTTCGTAACACTCCCACGATAAACATTGTAGTTGTTTCACAAACTCATACACACTACACAAATGGTCAAATTAAAAAAAAAAATTAATTAATTATTTCTTCCTTAAAATGTACCTGGGGTATAGACTATTAACCTTAAGACAGAACAGGGTAAATTTAAAAAGGAACGAACTGAAGCGACACATCTCGAGAAGCTGATTCAGGTAAATAGTAGACAAACCCGTTTCCTTTAGGATTCCTTTGTGAGTTCGCCCAAACAACTTTGTTTGATTGCAGTGAAAAGGTGTAATTTCAATAAAACAATATTGCAAGGGAGATTTCCGTTCGTATCATGTAGTCGTCTGGAACATGAAGTTTTCCTAGTGATTCCGTTCGTTCCATGTGGTCGTTTTGGTCCACGAAGATTTTCTTTGTGAGGTCACCTAGTGATACCCGTTTCGTTCTATGTGTCCGTTTGGATTTTCTTTGTGAGGTCACCTAGTGATTCCGTTCTTTCCATGTGGTCGTTTTGGTCCACGAAGATTTTCTTTGTGAGGTCACCTAGTGATACCCGTTTCGTTCCATGTGGTCGTTTGGATTTTCTTTGTGAGGTCACCTAGTGATTCCGTTCGTTCCATGTGTTCGTTTTGGACCACGAGATTTTCTTTGTGAGGTCACCTAGTGATACCGTTCGTTCACATGTGGTCGTTCTGGTCCACGAAGATTACCTTTGTGAGGTCACCTAGTGATACCCGTAGTACTATGTGGTCGTTCTGGTCCACAAAGGACGTGATACCTAATGAAATTTCTTTGATTAAGGTCACTAATTCTGGAGATGGAATTTGTTACGTTCCTTATATCAAAAAATTTACGTTTGTTATATTACCAATTATTGCTTAATGATCTTTCATTAACTTGATTTTCTATTACATATTAAAAATTAGTGATAAAGAAAATGAAAATCCTGCCAATAAGAAAATTAAACTAAGGTAAGCTATTATTATCCCTGATCAATCATTTTATGTTAAACTAATCTCTCATATAATACTTTGTCAAACAAAATTAGTATACCGATGATGACAAAACGGAAGACCCATCTTTAATCCATCTTGGATCCCGTGGCGTTGCTTTTACGGAAGAACTTAACGATAGTAATTCAATGATTAAGGTATTGTCATCTTCAGACTATCAACAAATTTAAACACATTAACGTTAAATTTCCAT